TTGGAGTATTTGAGTCATGTTTTTTAGAACTACATGAATGTACCAACCACATCCTGAAAAATCTTGTTTGTTTTCTTCAAAAGTCCATGAACAGACTTTTGTTTTACTGTAGAGAAGAAAAAACCAAGATGTTTTATCTGCTAAAAGACAAAAAAAAAAAAAAGTCCAGTCTTTCCTTAACTAGATTAAAAATATTATTGATAGAGAAATTATTTTTATATGAGGTCACTGCTGCTTTAAATTATGCCCAACTACTGTTAGGTGTTATATTGTTTAGTCCTGGTTTAGTCCTGGTTTAGTCCTGATTTAGTCCTGGTTTAGATCTGGTTTAGACCTGGTTTAGACCTGGTTTAGTCCCAGTTTAGACCTGGTTTAGACTTGGTTTAGTCCTGGTTTATACCTGGTTTAGACCTGGTTTAGTCCCAGTTTAGACCTGGTTTAGACTTGGTTTAGTCCTGGTTTATACCTGGTTTAGACCTGGTTTAGACCTGGTTTAGATCTGGTTTAGACCTGGTTTAGACCTGGTTTAGACCTGGTTTAGTCCTGGTTTAGACCTGGTTTAGATCTGGTTTAGATTTGGTTTAGACCTGGTTTATACCTGGTTTAGACCTGGTTTAGATTTGGTTTAGACCTGGTTTAGGCCTGGTTTAATCCTGGTTTAGTCCTGGTTTAGACCTGGTTTAATCCTGGTTTAGTCCTGGTTTAGACCTGGTTTAATCCTGGTTTAGTCCTGGTTTAGACCTGGTTTAATCCTGGTTTAGTCCTGGTTTAGACCTGGTTTAATCCTGGTTTAGTCCTGGTTTAATCCTGGTTTAGTCCTGGTTTAGACCTGGTTTAATCCTGGTTTAGTCCTGGTTTAGACCTGGTTTAATCCTGGTTTAGTCCTGGTTTAGACCTGGTTTAATCCTGGTTTAGTCCTGGTTTAGTCCTGGTTTAATCCTGGTTTAGTCCTGGTTTAGACCTGGTTTAGTCCTGGTTTAGTCCTGGTTTAGACCTGGTTTAATCCTGGTTTAGTCCTGGTTTTAGTCCTGGTTTAGCCCAAAATGTGAAAACAGTAAAATCCCTCTGTGTAATCCATTTATTTCAACAAAGTAACTGTAATCCAATTACCACTCACTGAAACAGTAACTGTAACTGAATACAGTTACTCATCATTTGATTACATAACTCTGGTGCATGTAATCTGTTACTCCCCAACACTGGTCCCAGGGTAGGGTAGTTTACATCACCAGGTCTAGAGGAAATGAATAATGTTCTGTAAAGTGTCTTTGTGGCAAAATATCTGTGAAAATATATACTGTACTGTAAATTACTTATTTAAAGTGTTACTCGAGTATCTGTGAGGAGCTGTGAGACTCTGGCGTCTCGTCTGTAAACATTATAACAGACACACAATTTAACTTTTTTCTGTTTCATATGTTTTTATTCATGTGCAAACAAATACAGATTTGTCATTCAAACAACACATGTTCACACACGTCTTCCATTTTGATGCAGATAAAACATAACTGACAAAGTTAATTAACTAAAACAAATCACTCAAGAAATAGGTGTCGTGACATACAATAAAAGAATAATAATAATAGAATGATAAAAATACACTACTAATATTAATAACAAATAGAAAATAAAATAAATAAATACAATAAAATAATAATTCAAGAAACATATAATAATAATAATAATAATAATAATAATAATAATAATAATAATAATAATAATAAAGAAGGTGGTTGGTTTAGGTGGTTGGTTTAGTCAATAAATGGCTGCCACTTTCTAAAAAATGTCTTTATGTTACCTTTCTTCAAATACTATATTTAACTTTTTATTCTTACTTTTTTTTTCTTTTTTTTAAATACTATGAACCAGATATTATGTGTTTTTAATAAAGACTGAATTGGATAGAATATGGAGAGGAGACGAACGAACCAGCTTCCACACACACACACACACACACACACACACGTATCATGTATGTTTTTCATCAGGCAGGTTACGTAATGGATCTTTAACAAAAACAGTCTCACAGAAGCAGAAGCAGAAGCAGAGTCTCCGTGTGCTGCTCACAAACTCCACTCAGACCCACAGTTTTACTACAAACTCTTACATAAGAGCTGCATGAATGAGTTTAGAGTTTAGAGTTTGGAGTTTGGAGTTTTAATATGATAATGTGGTGTTTACGTCTGAGTGGAGGCGCTGAGTCTCGCCCGGGGCCCGGGGCCAGCGCCGAGCTTTGACTGACAGCTCAGAACACGATGTACAGATGTGGATTCAGGCTCACACATGTGAACGTCAAAACAACGACAGAAAAGAAGCAAAACAACGAGCTTCTCCTTCAACGAGCTGTTTACACGACGTAAAACACGAGACGAGAAGAGGTGATAAAACAACAAGAACACGAGATCATTTAAACTGATTTTACATCTTATTTTATTGTTTTTGTTCCAGAATCTCACGATTATCACAAAGTTTTATCTCATGGTTCTCATTTAGTCACTTGTCTGGTTTAGTCCTGTTTTAGTCCTGGTTTAGTTCTGGTTTTAGTCCAGTTTTAGTCCTGTTTTAGTCCCGTTTTAGTCCTGGTTTTAGTTCCTGTTTTAGTCCTGGTTTTAGTTCCTGTTTTAGTCCTGGTTTAGTCTTGTTTTAGTCCTGGTTTAGTCTTGTTTTAGTCCTGGTTTTAGGCCCCTTTTAGTACTGTTTTAGTCCTGGTTTTAGTTCCTGTTTTAGTCCTGTTTTAGTCCTGGTTTAATCCTGTTTTAGTCCTGGTTTTAGGCCCGTTTTAGTACTGTTTTAGTCCTGGTTTACTCCTGGGTTAGACCTGGTTTAGTCCTGGTTTTAGTCCTGGTTTTAGTCCTGATTAAATCCAGTTTTAGTCCTGGTTTAGTCCTGGTTTTAGTTCTGTTTGAGTCCTGTTTTAGTCCTGGTTTAGTACTGGTTTAGTCCTGATTAAATCCAGTTTTAGTCCTGGTTTTAATCCCGTTTTAGTCCTGGTTTGGTCCTGATTAAATCCAGTTTTAGTCCTGGTTTAGTCTTGTTTGAGTCCTGTTTTAGTCCTGGTTTTGTCCTGCTTTAGTCCTGGTTTAGTCCTGTTTTAGTCTTGGTTTAGTTCTGTTTTAGTCCTGGTTTTAGTCCTGATTTTAGTCTTGGTTTTAGTCCTAATTTAGTCCTGGTTTAGTTTTGGTTAAATCCTGGTTTAGTCTTTTTTTAATCCTGGTTTAGTCATGTTTTAGTTGTGGTTTAGTCCTGATTAAATCCAGTTTTTAGTCCTGGTTTTAGTCCTGGTTTAGTGCCGTTTTAGTCCTGGATTTAGTCCTGGTTTTAGTCCTGGTTTAGTGCCTTTTTAGTCCTGTTTTAGTCTTGGTTCAGTCCTGGTTTAGTACTGAATAAATCCTGTTTCGGACCTGTTTTAGTCCTGGTTTTAGGCCTGTTTTAGTACGGTTTTAGTCTTGTTTTAATCCTGTTTTAGTCCTGGATTCGTCCTGGTTTAGTCCTGGATTCGTCCTGGTTTTGTCCTGGATTCGTCCTGGTTTTGTCCTGGATTCGTCCTGGTTTTGTCCTGGATTCGTCCTGGTTTTGTCCTGGATTCGTCCTGGTTTTGTCCTGGATTTGTCCTGGTTTAGTCCTGGATTTGTCCTGGTTTTGTCCTGGATTCACACTCTCACTCGTGCACACTACAACAACAACAACAACAGAAACAAAGCAAAACAAAGAGCTTCACTTGAGCTGTTTACACGACACAGAGGCCAAACAGAGGACAAGAGGACAAGAGGCGACAAAACAGCACAACACAAGATCATTTTAAACTCATTTTAATGTTTTTAGACAAAGTTTTACCTCATGATTCTCATTTACTGAAACAAAAGACACGACTATCACTATTTCAATCGTTTGTTGTTGTTAAATTATTGTGCTGAAGTGTGACGAAACTGATATAAAACTAATTTACCACCACTAATGTCTTTCTTTTTTTGGTTTAGTCCTGGTTTTAGTCCTGATTAAATCTTGTTTTAGTCCTGGTTTAAGTTTTAGTTTTAGTCCTGGTTCAGTCCTGTTTTAGTCTTGTTTTAGTCCTGGTTTTAGTCCCAGTTTTAGTTCTGGTTTTAGTCCTGGTTTTAGTCCCAGTTTTAGTTCTGGTTTTAGTTCTGGTTCAGTCCTGGTTTAGTCCTGGTTTAGTCTTGAAGTGTGAGGAAACTGCTATAAAACTAATTTACCACCCTTAATTTTTTTCTATTTTTTCTTTCTTTTTTTTTTTTTTTTCCACCCAACCTCCACCCACCAAGGTTCTATACAGACTTTGAAAAAGAAAACAATTGTGTGAGTTAAAATGACTTAAATTAAGAATATTTGACTTGAGTCGATTCAATTTGACAAGTCCAATGTGTTTTTCTTAATTCAAGCAACATTAGATTTTGTTAGGAAATAAAGTAATATAATAGGCATTTGATACTGTATCAAAATGTGTTTCTAAAAATATTTTCAAATTCTTCTTAAACGTACAATAGTGTTTTTGTATTTGACTTGTTTTTCTAGATCAGAAATGCCAGACTCAGGCCCGGGGGCCAAATTTGGCCCGTGATATAATTATATTTGGCCCATGAGATCATATCAAATCTGTATTAGAGTTGTTCACCGCACACAGATATTCATTATTTATTCAAAATGTTTTATTTTATATTCCGTTTGTTCTGGATTCAATGTTTAATCAAAATTATTATTTGAACTTTTATTTGAATAAGAAAAGATTTAACATTACAGATCTCAAAAGAAGAGAAAACATGCAGATGTTATTGAAATTTTTCAATATTTATTTTGTCCCACGACTTAGTCTCAGTTTTTAATTTTCACCCAATGTGAATTTGAGTTTGACTCTCCTGGACTGGAGTTTTATCACTATTCTGTTCACCCTTTGTTAAAATAAACTCTTCTTATATTAATTATTGAACAACTGTTTCCATGTAATTAAAATACAGTTGGTCTAATAAAGCACAGAGACACAAAAATAAATTTCTTTTTCTTTTATTATCAAAACTATTACAAAACTTTGGCAAATAGAGAATCAACATTGTACAAAAATACATTCAGACGTTTTGTTTTTCAGTGCGGACCTGATTGGCAGGACGTGTTCTCCGGTTAAAGTCTTTGGAAGAGGAGAAGCGCCTCGGGTCGGGTTTGGAATGTCTCTGAGTCCATCTCGTTAAGTGGCATCTCCAGCGTCAAGCACCACAAGAAACAAGGCCAAAAAAAAACTCGAAAATCTCAACTCATTTTTGGTTTAAGCTACGGTTTTTCACGTTGTTAGCAGCGTTGAGAGTCTGCCCGCTCCGTGTGCATAAACCACCTCCTCCGTTTCATCGTTAAATCAGCGATGGTATTCTTCCAAAAAAAAAAAAAAAAGGCAAACATTACTAGTGTGTAGCCTGGCCAGAAACCTGATTCTTATGGCAAAATTTGGACGGCTGAGTTCACAATTTTGGGTTTTTAACGTCAAGATTTCAGGTAACGCGACAGGCAAGGCACTTTTTTTTTTTAAAAAGAAATATCCAAAAACTAAAACATTTTGCTGGTGGAACTTTGTGCCAGTTTTGTTTTGCATTCGCCCAGTAACTTATCAAAAAAACAACATTTTAACTACTGTACTTTTTGGATTACAAGGCGCAACAATAATAATAATAATGTTGAATTCTTTCATTTATTTCCATACATAAAACGCGCCGGATTAAACGAAACAAACGGACGACACTTGAGACTGAAACTTAGTCCAAGTGTCCACGATCCATCGGTAGATCGTGGCGTAATTCGCTCGGCGTCGTTTGTTTTTTTATTTTCCTACGAGGACGTTTCAAATATACATTGAGTTATAATGTGTTTAATGCAGCTTTGCGCACATTTGTTTACGTTTTACAGAAACAAAACGTAGACACACAAGATTCATTTGCATAAACTATAACCGCTGAAAAAAAAAAAAAAACAGCTCGGTCTTTGTGTCGCTGACGCGGTTCAGCTTCTGTCGGACTAAAGGCTCGTAACTTGGGGTTTACTTCGCGAGGCTCCTGACTTCGGTCGCCGTAATGCTCCGACAATCCATCAAGAGGTGCGGCTTCGTAGTTTACCAAAGTCGTAGTAAAACATTTTGACAGATTTGTGTGCTGCATCAAATCTGTTCGAGGTCAGTAAGCACGACCAGAACTGTCGATTTTTGAGACATTTAAAAAGCTTTAAGCACGCCTTATAGTCCGAAAAACACGGTATTTGACGTGCAAATTCTCAAATCTGACGCATTTTCATTCCAAAAAAAACATATTGCTTTTTACAACGTTATAGCACCGTGTGAACCCAGCTTATTCGTCTGAAAATTCGCACGAAAATCAGGCTTAAAAAAAACAACAACTGCCCAAACCCGCTTCGTTTTTGCCAAACATCGGGTCGTGTTTTTGGGCTGGCCAGGCTCGGTTAGTCTAGTCTCCACTAGACTAACTCGTTTTTTTTTTTTGTTGTTCATTACATTCATCTCTCCACGTCATGCAATCTCGTCTGCAGACTTTAAGGCATCGAGTAAAATTCCCTTTAGCATAATATTTGTTACACATGCATAAAAACTCGTAAGTAGTAGCTCTACCTTCACATGGTTTTTTCTCGAATAAATGTGCTTATGTAACAGTAGAAATCATCTTTAGGCTTTTACGATGCATAGCGAGAATAGTCGTTAAAACCCAACGCGCGTCGTCACGGTTACAACTGCACGTTTAACGCCTTCGAAGTCGCCGCGGCAACTTGTCAACAGCGCTACAAAAAACAAAAAACAACCCGAACATCAACTCGTAGTGATTTTTTTTTACCCCCACCAATGTCCATTTAAACCTTGATTGGGAGAATGCTCGTTTCAATCAGAGCCCGAGAAAATTTTGAAAAATCACTTTAAGCAGACAGGAGTTCTTTTTATCGTTTTTATCCTCCGAAAAATGCCACGGTTTCGTCCGCGGTTTCGGGAGCGCGGTCCTGTCGCGAGTCCCGGCTTGTCCGTAGGGGGCGCTACAGTGCGGGGGAGCAGGGCAGGTCGTCCCGCGCGTCGTCCGGATCCAGAGGAGAAGACAACTCTCGTGCGATTGGTGCGTTTGAAAAAAATCAGCTCGTCTCTCAGAGCAGCGGCGGCGAGAGGTTCAACAGGTCATGCAGCGAGGACGGATGTTGTACGGCTGAGGGTTCGGGTCAATCTGGAACGAAAAAGAAAAAGAAAAGAAATTAGTCTCAAAAGTCAACAGCTAAACTACAATATATATAACTAAAACAGGACTAAACCAGGTCTCAGTCCCGGTCTCGGTTTCAATCACAGTCTGGTCCTGGTTTCAGTCCCGGTCTGGTCCTAGTGTCAGTCCCGGTCTGGTCCTAGTTTCAGTCCCGGTCTGGTCCTAGTTTCAGTCCTGGTCTGGTGCCCTGGTTTCAGTCCCGGTTTCAGTCCCAGTTTCAGTCCCGGTCTGGTCCTAGTTTCAGTCCCGGTCTGGTCCCCTGGTTTCAGTCCCGGTTTCAGTCCCAGTTTCAGTCCCGGTTTCAATCACAGTCTGGTTCCGATCTCAGTCCTGGTCCTGGTTCAGTCCTGGTTCAGTCCTGGTTCAGTCCTGGTTCAGTCCTGGTTCAGTCCTGGTTCAGTCCTGGTTCAGTCTGGCATTGCAGTCATGGAAGTCACGTTTTCGTTTTTTTTTCCATTTTTCATTTAAACACAATTTGTTTTTTCATTTTGGTTTTGAAGACAAATAATTAAGAAAATATATATATTTTTTTTGTTTTCTTATATTTGGTTTTATTTTAAAAAGCGAATGAACGAATGTCACACAGATTTTTAAGTCCAATGTTTTCCCGTCATTACTCACCACGCTGTAGACGGGCGGCGGTCTGAAGCGGAACTCCTGCACGAAGGCCTGCAGGGGGCGCTCCAGGATCCCGCTCAGGTCGTCCGCGGGCTGAGGAGAGGACGAAGAGTTCCTCTGCTCGGCCTCTTCGTCGCTGACCACCGCGCTGTACTCTGGAGGGGCTGCACACAAGCCACGAGAGGCACCGTTAGCATTAGCACGTTTAGCATTAGCACCATTCAAAACAATATGAACACGTAGCATCTTTTAGCACTAAGGATTTGGCATTCCGTTTGTTTATACTTTCATATTTTAAACATGTCCAGGATGAGTATTGTGTTGTTGTTGTTTTTTTGTAGTTTTGCAGTTTGTGTTTTAATAATTTTAAGATTCTGTTCAAAGTTCACATTTTAAAACCGTCCGGGAACAAAAACATTTGAGAAAAAAAAACTAAAATCTGCTAACTGCTAAGCTAATACAACAATCCCAGGCGTTTCAAAACACGTTTGAAGAGATCCAAACTTGAGTCGAATCCGGTTTTTAATCGATAATATTTTAATTTTGTTTGGTTTCAGAGAAAATATTGTATGTAAGTGTAGTCTTTGCCCTTCTTGTTTGTGTCAGATGCCCTCCCAGTGTCTACATAGTGTCTTATTCTGTGTAAAAACTGCTAACCCTGTAGAGACCAGAATTTCAAAATAAAAAACTGACATCTGCGTTTTTTTGGTCATTAGTAATAATAAAACTATAAAACGAGTGCGTAATTAAGGAAAATTGTTACTCAGAAGCCGTTCATGACTAAAACGTGAGTCTGTATAGTCACATTTTCTTTGCGTTTTGGTCGTAACGATATCCAAATCTCTCAATATGATACTCATTACGATGTTTTGTGGAGGCAACAAAACTGAACATGCCACTTTTCTCTTGTCATAATCCAATAATCAAGATTTAAAGCGCTTAATAACGGTTAATTCAGCATGTAGATCGGACGTAAACAGAGCAAAGGATCATGGTCTATGTAGTTCTCTCTGCATTTTAGCTGTTTGACTTTTTTTGTGTTTTGGTCATTTTTAAGCAGCTCTTCTGTATTTTAAATAAACAAATGACAGTTTATGTTACTTTTTATTGTTGGCAGGGATCAAATCGGTTAAAAATAGGGACATTTCTCACATAAATCTGGGACAAATCTGCTGGGACGGACCAAATACCTCCACTACAAAAGTGTTCTGAAATACAGGGGATTGTTGGATTAGTTAGTCAGTTCAGATTTCAGTCCTAATCTTCCCGGACGGGTTTAAAATGTTACTCGGCGAAGCGATTCTTGATTTGTAAACATTAACAGTCATTTAGCCTTTAGTCATGTCCTAGTTTACACCCACGCTAGCACTTAGCCTAGCGCTGAGTCATCTGCTAGCGCGACTCTCGGGAGGTTTGTTTACGCTCTGCCTGTTGGTTTGGAGTCGGGGAAACTTTGGATAACAACTTTGGTTATTTTAAAAAAGACAAAAAGAAAGTGAATTTAAGATAAAAAAAACGTTACTTCAGCATTCCCTGGGGCTCTGATGCTAAATGGAGGCACTGTTCTGTCAGGAGGAGCTTTGTTTTGATGCAATCTGATCAGAAAAAGCTGGTTCGGCTGGAATTTCAACAGGTGATCTGATCTGTGATAATTGATAAAAACTGCTGAACATTCCGCCACACACATCCATGCAGTAGACCCCTAGCCAAGCCTGATAATCAATAATAATCAATAATCCAAAGCAGACGATGGTTGGTAAAAGTAAAACCAAAAGCAGGGGATCAATTTTAGAAAATTTTTCAAAACAGAAAGTGAAAATGTGGATTTTCAAAGGTGATTTTTGAAACTGAATAAATATTTTGACCTAAATGAGTCACCAGTTAATATGAAAGCGCCGTTTGAGTCAATGATATCATTAAATCTGTTACTGATTTGAACGAGTATCGATGGGAAAACTTAAAATTATTATTGTTATCAAGAAAAGTCAAAACATTTTTAGGTAAGATTCAAAGTTTTTCCATTGTTTTTGGAATTTTCTTGATCTTAATTCTAATTTTTAATAGAACCACGTAGTAATATTTGACAAATTATTATTATTTTGTGTTAAATTAAAAGTGTTGAAATCGAGTTGGCATGGCAACAACAACTCTGGACATGTTTAAATGCGGATTTTAAAGCGACAGTGTGTAACTTTCTCATATGATTCCATGGAAACAGAACGCTAAAACCATGCTTCGGCACATTTTCCACAGAGATTTACAAGTTTTAGGCCATATTGTGGGATATTATAGCCAGAGGAACAACATCTCCATGGAAACAAGCAGATTAAGTGAGAGTCAGGTTTGTGGAGATGCAAGCCCACTCACAATAATAAGTAAGCAGGTATGTTTTTAAAGTTTTTCAACGATAAAACCTGATGATAGTGATAAAACTTGCTCGTATTTTAGTCTATCTTTGCGCTAAAAAGTTACACACTGGCTTTAAATGCATCTCTCAGTGTTTGTGCGTAAAACTGCAGATGTTAGAGCAGATACTCACGCTCGGGCTGCTCGGGGATGGCCATGCGGAGCCAGTCCACGTTGACGCTGTACTGGCTGGACACGCTGGACGTCCGGCTGCCGAACGGGTGCAGGGGGATGGTCCCGATCACCAGGGGGAGCTCCAGGCACAGCTTAGAGGTGCCGGGTACGTCCACGCACACCTGAGGATCACAACGGGAACACTTTTATTCAGCTTCGATCCAACATTTTTACCCTGATTTTTAGTTTTCAATCAATACATTTGTCAGTTGTGATTTTTGAAACTGAAACTACGAAATCTGGTCCATTAAATTTGGCGTTTTGGCAAGACAATTATCCAAATCAAAATCAGAATGAGCCTCAGACGACTATCTTATTTGGGTTGCCAGTTCCAAAGCCGAAATCCAGTTGGTTTAAATCTAAATCTATGCTTCTTTCGGATCTGGCCAAGCGATTTAAGAAAAAACAAAAAACAAATACTGAATCAGATTTGCGATTCAGGTTTAAACAATGGAATTCTGTTAAAAGTCTGAACACATTTTAAACACGCCAATACGAAAATAACACTTCAGGGCATGTTTGTACAGAACTAAACTACACAGCTAGAAGTTTTAAAGCAGAATAAAACCGAAAATGTGGTCGTTTAAGGAGGAAATTACGGAAAGGCGACCATTTTAACCCTCCCATCGTGATTTTCGTATCGTCAAAAGTGTCACAAAAATACCGTGGACCATCACAATATATCAAATTACAAGTCTGTTTGCATTGTTTTGGTGCAACAATAACAAAAAAGAATATGAGGAAATTACATAGACCATGATCCTTTGCTCTGTTTTAGTCCAGAAATAACTGTTATAAACGCTTTTAAAGTCTTAATTCTTTGGACTATGACAGAACCAAAGATTGCAAAGGTTTTCAAAGAGGAAATCGCAATAAATATCATACCGTGAGATGCACATCGTGAAAATATCGTACACAGAGATTTGAAATATCGTTACGTCTGTATGTAAGAGCGAGTCGTCGGTCTTTACCTTGAGCATGTACTCCACTTTGATGATGCGGCACTGGAGGATGGACGGTCCGAGCGGCGGGATCTTGATGGCCCGGCCGTGCCACGTCTCCCGGGTCCGGGCGCCCACGATGTCGCCGCACAGGGTCGCCACCACCGAGCGCTTCTGCTTCATGGTGCCGCGCGCGATGAACGTCTGCGTCTGGGTGATGTACGCTTTGGGCACGATGGAGCGCGAGGTAGAGTTGTCGAATTCGGCGAAGACGGGGATCACCTCGCCTGGAATCAGAAGAACGGGATTAGGATTAAGAATTATAAGTGCTTGGTGTAACTTTTCTCATTTGTTTCTGTGGTGAGGTTCGATACGTTTCTGTGAATGCAAGTAATTGTCTTCGTTTTGCGCGTCAACTCCCAGTAAATTTCATTTTGTTTTCAGAAACGTCGAATAAATTTAAGATGGAGGAACACACTGTGGAACATTCCAAAATGAAGTAGCAGAAAACCGAAACTCTCCAGAAAAGTTACACCTTTTAAAAGCAGTAATTAGTGAAAAATTGTCAAAAACTCGACCATATTCCATTCACGATTTTGCCGTTGCCGTGGCGATTAACAACTGAAATAAAAATCTATCTCGAAAAAAGTCCTCATAGAGTTGATTAGACAAAGTTTACAGATCCACGACGGAAATTATTTGGACAAAGTTGCTCACACATTAAAATATATTATTAAAAAAATATATAAAAATGGAAATAAATCAAAAAAAAAAAAAGCAAGAGACTCAAAAAATGTAAAAAAAAAAAAAAAGTATTACTTGAATGTTTTCTTTGTCTTTTTCAATAGAACGGACACATTTTTTGATCAAATATTTGTACTGAAATTAGAATAAAAACATTTGTATGTCATCTGATCTTTGTTCTCACCTGGTGTGTAGCCTTTGCGGTCAATCTTTGCCGTCACGTTGACTTGACCGAAGTTTCTGTACCAGGCCCGCGCCATTTTGTCCTTGGTGCCGGCCTGTGGTGCCTGAAAACATAAACATAAAAACTGAAATCAGCCTCATATGAGAAAGACTAATGCGCCGGGAACAAGTTCAGACACCAAAAAATGTACGAAACTTTATCAGAAGTGGGTTTTGAGGTGTAATTCTTAATCTAAAATTGGCGAGACAGTGGCTCAAGGTCAGAAAACCGAAGTTCTGTTGTTGTATCTTTAGCCATAACACTTCACCGACATGTGTGAGAGAGTTTGTGGTCGAAATTGCGGATGAATAATGGACTCTGAAGCGCTTCGGGTGTCTAGAAGTGCCGTATTCTTTCTTTCTTTACCAGTAGTGCAGGTGTGTTGATGTCGATGGGCTCGATCACAGTGAACTCCTTCTTGATCTTCCTGACCGTGGACCAGGGCCGGTGCAGCTTCACTTTGACCCAGTACCGGATGCTCCCGTGTTTCCCTTCGAAGGACGTCACCAGAGTCTCCTCCGGGAGCTGGAAACTGAACGGAAACTCGTGTCTGCCGGCCGGAAGCACGGTCACCTCGCCGTTATCTGGAATACACAAGCACAAGGACATAAGAAAACTTGGAATTATCTGGATACACAAACATATGGACAAAAGAAAACTCGGAATTATCTGGAATACATGAAGATAAGGACATAAGGACACTTGGACCCTTTTGGATTTCATTAGTTTTATTACTATGCGTAGAGCTTTTGTTTAGATTTTCTATTAAAATAAAAACGATTTTGGCTTTTTTTAAATTTATTTTTATTATTATTATTATTATTAATTAGGATTTTTTTTCCACTTCTACATTATCTGTAATACATAAACATAAAAATATAAGGATATACTGGATTTAACGGGTTTAATTGATGTAACGAGGACTAGAGAGAATTTTAAAATAAATTAAAAATCTTTATGCAACTCCAAATATTAATTACAAAAAAACCCTGAAAAAATAAATAAAATAAATAAATAATAAAAATATATATAAAAAAATAAATAAATAAAAATAACTTCAATAATTTCAAAGTATGATTGTTGTTATTTTTGAGTGCAATGATATAGTATTGTGTCAGCTGGGGTCACTTTAGGAGCTTAATTATCCTAATTAATATTTTATAATAACTTTATTTCAAAAACATGATTAAAGTTCTTCACATAAATCAGACATAAGACCTGTACCAATTTTTTTTTCCATGTATTTGCATAAAACCTGCCTTTCCCCTGCACAGATTTACTGTTAAAGCGCTTTTAAAGTCATAAATCGCCGTCTGCGTTCCACCTGCATCTATTTACAACGCGTTTTATTGCCCCTGAAACAGGAAGTGCGCTGTTGGCATGACAGTTGCCGTTAACTTTGGAGACACCAGAGCGCTAAAGTTGTGAAAACCACTCATAAACGGAATCATTAGGACGCTCAGAATCCATTAGTTTAGTGAGAAATATCTGGCATTAGCCTTTAGCCACTAGCATCACAATTCAGAATCTGTTAGCATGCTAGTTGTTGTTATTATTAGTGCTCTGGTGTCTCAAAGTTGTGAAAAGCGCTTATAAACTTATTGTGGAGATTAATTTGGACGCTCAGAATATATAAGTTTAGTGAGTTGGCGTTACACTTTAATAATTCAGGAGTTTAGTGAGAAATATTTGACGTTAGCTGTTAGCCGTTAGCCGTTAGCATCACAGCTCGGGTTCAGTGAGTTCAGGCCCGTGTTGTTATTCCAAAGTGTGAATGTGTCATCTTTGTAATTACAGTAAAAGTATTCAGAGGAGATTCTTGCGGGCGGTTACGAAATGCTTACGAAAACAACAAGCGTTGCACAACCGCGCCTAATATTATATCAGCCGCGACTTCAGCTTAAACTTATCAAAAATAAACCGCGGGGAATGTGAGGACACGTTTGGAAATCCGGGCTCAGACCAGGGATCCTGCGCTCAAGGAAATCCTCTGTTTTTCTGTCTTTTAAAAAAAAACTATTTGTATTATAATGTTTGAGATTTTTTTTTTTCTTTTAAAGTTCACGTTTTAAAAAGAGGAACAAAAAAGGACAAGGACAAAAAGATAAGAATCACAATTTCAGACTCAACACTGATTCTGATGCCAAAGTGATAATAATAATAATTAAAAAATAAAAATAAAAAAAACAGACCAAGACTAAACCAAGATCAGGGCTAAACCAAGATCAGGACTAAACCAAGATCAGGGCTAAACCAAGACCAAGACCAGGACCAGCAGTAAACCAAGACCACGAACAGGATTAAACCAGGATCAAGACTAAAACAAGACAAAGACCAGAACTAAACAAAAATCAGGGCTAAACAAAGATCAGGGCTGAACCAAGATCTTAGCTAAACCAAGACCAAGACTAGACCAAGACCAGGACCAGGATTAAACCAGGATCGAGACTAAACCAAGACAAAGACCAGAACTAAACAAAGACCAAGACAAGGACCAGGATTAAACCAAAACCAGGACCAAAACCTAGACCAAGACAAGAACCAGGACTAAACCATGACCGGGACTAAACCAAGATCAGAGCTGAACCAAGACCAGGACCAGGAGTAAACCAAGACCAAGACCAGGACTAAACCAGGACCAAGACTAAACCAAGACAAGGACCAGGATTAAACCAAGACCAAGAGAAGAACCAGGATTTAACCAAGACCAGGACCAGGTCTAGACCAAGATCAAGATTCTTTCTTTAGACAATATCCTGTGATTTTCAACATTAAATTTTAGAACTTTCTTTTCTTTGGTCCCTGGTTTGGTCCCCGGTTTGGTCCCCGGTCCCTTGTGTCCTTATATGTGTGTATCTCTCAGTGGTCCAGGCAGGTTCCGTGGGCGTGTACTGAGACTTTTTTGGGTCTTTTTTTGGTATCGATCCCTGTCCTCGTTTAGATTTTAGTTTTGGGCCTGGGTCCGGTTGGAGACCTGCTGAAATCGAGTGTTATTTGTTATTTTTGTTGGCGCGGGGCCAGGGCTGATCACATGGAGCTGTGAGGCTCCGAGGGGCCGGTCCTTCCTTCACTCAAAACATGTTTTCCTCCGGATCAGTTACACGTCGTCTCAGCCCTGCCTCCCTCCGGCCCCGAGCACGTGGAGCCCGAGGAGCACGAAAAACCGCTCTGCCGCTCTGCCGCCTTCACCGGGGAATTAACCCGCACTGCAGGATTCAACGCAATTAAAAATACACACAAAAAAACAACTCATAAATGGCCCCATCTTTAAACATTGTAATTTATTCTGGAAAAACTAGAAAAAAATGTCGTTTAGAGCTCAAACCAGGACTAAACCGAGTCTGAAAGCAGGTCTGAACTGGGTCTGCAAGAGAACTAAACCAGGACTAAAAAACAGGTCTGAACCAGGACTGAAAACAGATCTAAACCTGGTCTGAAAACAGATCTAAACCAGGTCTGAAAACAAATCTAAACCAGATCTAAACCAGGTCTGAAAACAGATCTAAACCAGGTCTGAAAACAGATCTAAACCAGGTCTGAAAACAGATCTCAACACAGGTCTGGAACCAGGACTACAACAGGACTAAAACAGTAATAAACCAGGACTGAATCAGGACTGAAAACAGATCTGAATCCAGGACTAAACTAGGTCTGAAACCAGGTCTGAACCAAGTCTGAAACCAGGTCTGAACCAAGTCTGAAACCAGGTCTGAACCAAGTCTGAACCAGGTCTGAACCAAGTCTGAAACCAGGTCTGAACCAAGTCTGAAACCAGGTCTGAACCAAGTCTGAAACCAGGTCTGAACCAAGTCTGAAACCAGGTCTGAACCAAGTCTGAACCAAATCTGAAAACAAGACTAAACCAGGTCTCAAAACAGGACTCAACTAGGCCTGACCAAGTCTGAACCAAGTCTAAAAACGGGTCTAAACCAGGTCTGAAAACAGGTCTAGAACCAGGACTACAACAGGACTAAAACAGTAATAAACCAGGACTAAACCAGGACAGAAAACAGGTCTGAACCAGGACTAAACCAAATCCTGTCAAATTATGTCAGATGTGTTTTTATTCGGCTTTATTAAACCGGTTCACTCAGATTAGACCAGATGCCCTCCCTGCGCCTCCACGTGGTCTTACTCGGCGTAAAAGCCGCTAACCTCGTAGTTTAAACCTTTACAAAACACACGGGATTCTTGGATTAGTCGCAGCTCGGATTTCAGTTCGTACGCGTGCTCCTTAAAGTCTGAAAACGTGCAAAAACTTTTCACGGGAATCACAAAAAAACTCGTCAAAAATCGCAATTAAACGTTTCGTGCATAAACGAGTTCCTTCTGGCGTTCGCGATTCCAAAAATTCCCGCGTGTTTTGGGTTGAAATGTGGTCGTAAAAGTGAAACTGAGCAGACAAAAGGGGCTCGGCTCTGGACTTCCTGGAAGCTGAGCCGAGCTGCAGAAAAACAACTTTCTTCGAAGGAGGAAAACCAAAAGGAAAAGAGGGAAAAAGAGCTGAGCGGGCAAAAAACACACAGGTTTCCATATGAGACAGACAGGACTCTGAACCAGGTCTGGACCAGGTCTGGACCAGGACTGGACCAGGTCTGGACCAGGACTGGACCAGGACTGGACCAGGTCTGGACCAGGACTGGACCAGGTGGACAGGTCTGGACAGGACTGAACCAGGACTGAACAGGACTGAACCAGACTGACCAGACTGAACCAGAACTGAACCAGGTCTGAACCAGGACTGAAAACTAGACTGAACCAGGACTGAAAACTAGACTGGACCAAGTCTGGACTAAGTCTGGACCGAAAACTGGACCAAGTCTGGACCGAAAACTGGACTAAGTCTGGACCGAAAACTGGACCAAGTCTGGACCGAAAACTGGACCAAGTCTGGACCGAAAACTGGACTGGACAAGGTCTGGACCAGGACTAAACCAGGACTAAACCAGGACTAAAACCAGGACTACTAAACCAGGACTAAACCAAGACTAAACAAAGACCAAAACAGAGACAAACCAGGACTAAACCAGATCTGAACCAAGACAGAACCAGAGCTGAACCGGGACTAAATCAGGACTGAACCAGGACAAAACCAGGACCAAACCAGAACCTAATTTGCAAAAGTTAGCGCTCTCAAAAAAAAAAAAAAAGAAAAAAACAAGCAGGAACTCTGTGTACCAGCTCTAAACGTGGGTCTAAACTTGGGTCTATAATAGGACTTTACTGTTAACTAGATCTAAACCAGTTCTGGACCAGGACTAAATTAGGTCATGCACTTAAAACCGGTCTAAGTTCTAGGCCTTCAAAACAAGTTATTATGAGACGGGACTTGGGACTTGTAAAAGGTCTGAACAAAGACAAAACAAGATCTAAACCAGGACTAAAACTGGTCTAACCTTGGCTCTTGTTTACCGGTGCTGAATTGGAACTAAACCCGGTCTAAACTCGGTCTAAGCAGATCTAAACCAGGACTCACACGCCCACTGGAGGCTCATAAAACATTTCCTCATAAGTCAAAGCGTTTCTTCGCCCCAAAAAAAAACAACAAAAAAACGAGAAACTTTTCGTGCATTTCTGAATCGTC